AGCTGTTAGCACCTGGCACCCACCGAGGGGTTATCCTACTACTCAAAGGAAACTGTACCTGGGCACGCCTCCATCTTTCAAGTTGAGTGTCCTCCATGAGTCGGCCTGACAGGATCCAGCCTACATGGCCATTTCTGCAAGGGCCAGACAAAGGTCACAGAGGAGGGGGAGAGGCATAACCAGGGACAAGGAGATGCTGTGCATTGACATTTAACAGCCCACAAGGCACATAAATCCCCTGACTGCCAATGAGTGCCTGCCCTAGCACTTTTCAGAAAGAGCCTTAGGAGCTTCGCAGCGCATATACTAAGATTGGAAAGATACAAAAAGACCCCTAGCTTGCTCCAGGGTAGGCAAAGGCCCCTGAGGGGCTCAGACCCTCCTCGTGGCACTCCACCACCAAGGTTGACTGCAAGTGAGGAAACAGGCTTTCCAGGGAAAGTGTGCTCTCCCTGATGATCAACCACTCCCAAATACAAGAGTCAGATGAGATGAATGTCAGGAGTTTCCTGTCCTCCCTCAGCCTCGGTGTGTCCACCAAGTCTTAGAAACTGGGAAAATGTCTCAGGCTCAGAGGCCAAAGAAGACTCGTGCCAGCAGTCAGAACGCCAGCCCCAGAGACCAGGCAAGGAACAGACGCTACATCAGCCTGGCCATGGAGAGGAAAGTCACTTACTCCTGAACTTCCCTAGTCACCCCCAAGAGAATTTTGTGTCCTGTAGGGCAACGATTCTCAAAGTGTGGTCCCCTGACCAGCAGGATAGATATCAGCTGGGAACTCACTAAATAGTAAATTGTCAGACCTCACCCCAAACTTCCTCATCAGTAACTCTGGGACTTCAACTGGCAAATTATGTTTTAATAAACCCCCAGAGTCCTCCAGGTGACTCTGATGCTAACATAAGAACTGCACTAGAGGCTCTCATGTTTCACTAAAATAGGCAGCCAGCCAGCAGGAGGGGGATGCAAGAGTCCAGGGGAAGGGACTCCAGGTGAAGGAGACACCTTTCCCAGAGCCCCACCTGTGCACACAGGTGACAGCAAGCGCCTGTGGTCCCCATCCAGTCCGCTGCTGCAAATACAAATGGATGGTGAAGGGCTTTGGAGTGGTACCAACAGCCCAGGTGGGGTCTTCAGGGTCTGGGGAAGTGTTAAAAGTACAGGAACCAAACTCCATTGCTCACAGAGAGCAGCAGGTAGCCTGAGGGGAAGGTAACACAGCAGGGCGGCTAGAGAGGCTGGGAGGCGGGGCAGAGACCCAGCTGGGGTGGAGTCGTCACTGGTGAGCACCCCAGGGCCAGGCACATTGTGCCCATTCTCCCACTTGATATCACAGGCCACGAGAGGCCAGCAGAGAGCAAGGCACCGTCACTCCACTTAGCTGAGAGGAATCTGAGGCCCTCAGAGGCCCTCAGACTCACTCAAACGCAACCAACAGTGAGTGGCATATAAGATTGGGCTTTATGGACCCTGCTTTGTAGCCACTAGTCAGAAATCCAGGTGATAACCTGGATTTGCGGTTGGCATCTGAAGCCATCAGTCTCTGTGAGACCTAGCCCTTAACTTGTGGGCTAGCCCAGGTGGACACTGTCAGAACGGAATGGAACCATGGGATACTCAGCAAGAGGCAGGGAATCAGTGACTGTGGGGAAACATCCACATAGTTGGTGGCCAGAAGTGTAACTGTGGTCATAGGAGAGAATAAAAGAATAAAGATTTTTCCTTCCAACAGAACAATTCCCTTATCTGGGCCTCAGTGTTCTTACCAGTCAAATAATACAGCTGGATGGTCAGAAAACAAATTCTGAGATGCCCATCTGTGCACAACTATACACCACCCAGAGGAAGCACAGACCAGCTTGCTGGACAATTGGGAGTTCTAGGAGAGTCGGTGTAAGGATATGCATCAGGGGAAAAGGACCCAAACACTATGATTTACAGGCTCAAAATCAATTACCAGTTATGACTCAAGAATTCCTGAAAATAATGGCAAGTGGTTCTTTGCCCCCAAAGTACAGATATCATTTGAAGGGGTGCAGGAAATTGTGACCTCTCCTGGCCCACTCTGCAGAGTGGGCTAGCTTAAACTAGAGTGGTGGCGCAGGAATAACAAAAGTGGTCAGATCCTGGATACAGTATGAAGAAAAATCCAACAGGGTTTGCATACAGCTTGGATGTGAGTGTGAGAGAAAGAGAAAAGTCGAGTGTGACTTCAGGGTCATTTTTTTGAGCTGGCAAATGGGAGGATGGTGTTTCATTTATCCCCTTCTGCATAACAAAATACCCGAAACTGGTGGCTTAAAACAAACATTTTGTGTTACTCGTGATATGGTGGGTCAGGGGTTAGGATAAAGCTGGCTGTGTGATTTTGTCTCTGCTCCATATGGAGTAACAGATCTGTCTCCAAGATGGCTTCCTCACTTATACTTAGCGCTCCCTGCTCCTCCTTAGCTGCTCTTCCCTCCCATCCCCTCTCTACTCACACAGGTAGACTGGAGAGTCACACTTCTTAGATGGCAGCTGCCTTCCAAGGGGCAGGAAGTAGAAGCTGCCAGACTAGTTAAGGGCCCTGGCCCATGCAATCTTGGGTCGTTACCACATTCTCTTGTTCAAAGTAGTCACAGAACTTGGTCTATCTCAAGGGGGTGAAGAGTGCACTCCAGGGCCTCCCCGGTGGCGCAGCGGTTGAGCGCTGGGTTGCGAAGCTGCCCGCAGCCTCTGCAGCGCCGACTGCCCCCCCCCCTCCGGCCACCAGAGGAGGGTCCCACATGGCGCGCAGACCTCTCCTGCCGCCCGCTGCTCCCCTCAGCAGTGTGCTTCGGTCCTTCTGCCTGCTCTGCTCCCCGCTCTGGCTCTGGTGAATTCTCTCACCCTCCCGCGCTTCTGACTGTACCTAGTGCTTGTATAAATAAATAAATCTTTTAAAAAATAAAGAAATAAAATATATTAAAAAAAAAAAGAGTGCACTCCACCTCTTGATAAGAGAGTAGCAAGGTGACCTTGTAGAAAGGCATGTGGGAAAGGGATATTATTGCAGCCATCTTTGGATAATACAACCTGGCACCAATGAAGTGACCTTTTCTAAGACGGAGAAGACAGCACCGTTGGGAGTGCATCAGAGTCCAGTTTTAGGCACATTAAGCTTGAAGTTCCCATTGGTCATCTAAGTATAAGTGGAGGATGAGGCCCCAAACCTGTCTCCATCTATAAACCTACCAGTCCTTCATGGAATACCCAGGAGCTCCAGAGTTGGCCTTTCAGTGGTTGAACAGCTTCAGAGAACTTTTATAGCTTTCTGCTGGGGAGGAAGGAGCATGGAGATAAGAAGGGAGATCAAGACAGCTTCCTCCCTGGCAACATCAGACCATTTGTAGTTGTAATAAGCCTTCCGCTGGCTCCATCCAAGGCCCCAGCACTAAGGTGTTATAAAAAAAAAGACTCTGAGTCAATGAGAGGCAGCTGGTTGAAGCGATTCCCAGTTTTTCATATGACTCATAAATTTGTTACATGGTGAGGAAATTCCCTGAAAGCTTTTTGGCAGCCTCGTCCAGTCTGACCAGTAGCTAAGAAACACATAACCTTCCAGTTAAGAAAAGGAAAGAAAACACACAAGGCTTTGACTCAGGGCTTAAATGGAGGGTCACTTTAAAACTCTCCTTCCACCAAGTGCACAACAGTTTTCCGGGAGAGATCCAGGATTTATTAGGAAGGTTTGCAGTTGCAACCAAATTTCAAGCTGCAGACAGATCATGGGAAGGTGAGTGTGTGTGTGTGTGTGTGTCTGTCCCCTTACAGGTCTTTTGCTGATTACTAAAAAGCGCAGATGCCCAAGTCTACACCTAGCAAAGTCAGGGCCAGGAGGCAGCAGAACTGTGAAGTTGGCCCTGTCTCTCCTGCCAATGCCCTCACAGGAACACGGCTCCCCTTTAGGATCACGTGACAAGGAGTAGGAAACACTGGTTCCTTTACTCAGGGTGTAACTTCTGGGCAAACTGCCTCACCTTTTTATCAGAAGCCAGGATGATGGCTGCCCTTGGAAGGAGAGTAGAGGACAGGCCTCATCTGGCCACAGGGAGGTGCTGTTCTGGTGATGTTCTGTGTCTTGTTCTGGCTAGTGGTCAACAGATGTGTTCACTTTGTGCTAATCCAGCGAGATTTCAACCACCAAATCTAATGGTTCTATTATCTCTTGTTTTGGGCAAGTTCCCTGCTGCTTGACTTGGGAATATGTGATTCTATCAGCCAATCGCTCTCTCAGCTCCTAGGACAGAGCTTTCCCCAAAGGATGGGTTAATGTCTCCATCTGTATGTTATACTTCCATACAAAGTTTATTTTTAAAATAAATAAATTTGCCTGAGCCTCAGTTTCCTCATTAGTAAAATAGGAACAAGAATAAACACTTCATGCCTCTCGGGGGTGCGGCAAGGATGAGAGAGCTTGATGGAAAGCATCAACTAACCCAACACCACTACAAGGTAGACACTGGGCACTGCTGAAGATACACATGGAATAAGTGTTCACCCATCTATCCCCTGTGGACAGGACTGTCCCAATAAACCATGACTTTTATTTCAAGTTTCAGATATTTATCAATCAGTGTAAACCCAGGTCTCCCTGTTGGCGCAAGAGGTTAAGACAACCTATGAAGCTACCCTACCCACAGCCACTGCAGCATGAATTTGATCCCCAGCCAGGGAGCTGACCCACAAGGCACAGCAGACCTCTCCTGCCTCGCCCGCTGCTCCCCTCAGCAGTGTATTTCAATCTGCCCCACTCTGTCTCTGGTGAATCCTCTCACCCCCCACATCTCATGCCTGTACCCCAGTTCTTGTATGCATAAATAAATAAATCTTTTTAAATAAATCAGTGTAAGCCCTAACACAGTCCACCAAAGTGATTTGTACATTTAGAAGGGAAGAATTTCCTGGTTAAGTGGAAAATTGTGCACATGGCTTCTGGAATAACTCGTTTTAAGCAGTTTTATAGGGAAATATTCCATTTATAAGTCTGGACTTTCCTTCTTCAGTTTGCTGTCATCTACATTCACTGGGTAGAACCTGTATTGATCATTGGGATCCGGTTTATTCCAGGGTTCTGGGTTAATCTTCCTGTCCCAACTGACATCCAGATTGAACAAAGTCAGATACATGACATACGGCCTTGCTCCAGTCCCTCCAGCTCCAGTAAATGCAAAGAGGAGAATCGAGCTAGGATGCTTCTTGGCCTGCCCAAAGATCTGGCAGAGCATGGTAGTGGGAGAGGGCTTGGGCCAGGAAGGAGAGGAGAACAAATCTGCAAGTCCCAGAACTAAGTCTCTGCCTAAACCATGACTTCCTCCCTGCCCTCTCATCTATTTCCAAGGTGGCTCTTAGCTGTTTGGCATTAGTACTATTTTCATAGGTTAGATTTTTCAGAATTAAAGTTATTGGGTGAAAGGATTAAAAAAAAGTTAAAATATTGAATTTGAACATATGAATATATTTACTACATATATTGGTAACTTAAATTATTAAAAAAAAAAACAGGAACAGTGCGTGTTGCTAATGTTAAGTGAGAGCTAATGTTGAATAAGTGGCACATTCTAGTGTAAGGAGCTTCTTTTGCAAAGGCTTAGAGGTATGAAAGCAAAGAAGAGCCTGGAACACACAGAGACAATGGGAGGATGTGAGTGAGAATAGATGTTGATGGATGTTGTGTCAAATAGCTAATCCTTCCCTGCATTTCCTTGTGGGCTTCAGATTTTACTCTGAAGGCAAAGGGAGAGACTGTAGGTTTTAAGGTAAGAGTTAGGATTGGAACTGCCTCTCAGAAAAAAAGCAGTGTGAAGGGTGGAGTTGAGAGGAGGGGGCAGATAATCAGGAAATACTTAAATTTGCATTTTTTAATTATGGTAAAATATGCATATAAAGTTTCCATCTTAACTGTACAGTTCTGTAGCATTAACTATGTTCACAGTGTTGTGCAGTCAATCTTCAGTACCTTTTCATCTTGCAGAACTGAAACTCTATCCCCCTTGAACAATGGCCCCCTGTTTCCACTGAGATCACTCCAATAGGGCTTGTAGTCCTACTAGATGTGGGAATGAGGAACAGGAAGTAGAGAAGGGTCACTCCCAGGTTTGGGGAGTAGAAGACTGAGTAGTGGCATTGCCAATAACTAATTTGGGAGCTATAATATACACAGTTATCTGTTGCTCATAACAAACCACCCAAAACTTGGTGACTTAAACCAACAAAGATTTCTTGACACTCAGGATTGAGGGGTTCACTGGATGCATCCTGTGCTGGCTGTCTGGATACTCAATCAGCTGTATTCAGCTGGAGGGTCAGCTAGAATAGAAGATCCAAGCTGGCCTCACTCATGAGCCTGGCAGTCATCACTGGGTGTCAGCTGGGGCACCTCAATTCTCCTCCACTACTCATCCTCCAATAGGCTACCCTGGCTTCCTTCCATGGCAACTGGCTTCTCTCAAGGCCTAACTTCTCCCGCAGTAACTTCTATCACATTCTATTGGTCAAAGCAAGTTCAGGGCAAGGGGAAATAGATTCCACCTGATAGGAGCAGCTGCAATGAATGTGTGGCCATATTTAATCTATCAGAGGAGGACCCAGCTTAGCCGAGAAAATGAGCTTACAGTCATAGAGATAGAAGAGGAAGTTGAAATCAACCCAAAGGATGAGATTTGCCAACCAAAAAAGGGAACCAGGACACTTAATGGAATCTAAAAGATAGGCAGAAGAGATGGGTCCCAAGAGACTGAGATCAAGTAGCCAAAGGGGTAGAAAGAACCAGAAGAAAATTCTGTCCAAGATGCTCCAAGAAGAGAGTAGTTGATCGAATCTCATACTTCTAAGGTATTCAGTAGCATGCAGTTTGTCTAAAAAGGGGGAAGTATCTAGATATGGTGATTGAAGAGACCTTAATGTTCTTGTAGAGAGAATTGATAGAATGCTAAGAACAGACACCAAACATGTCTGGATGATGAGTGTGAAGGTGCTGGATTTCTCCTTGTCTACCCAGGACATACCACACAGGTAAATGGAGGTGCTTGTGATAGAGGATTATTCCTCCCCACCCCATTGATCTGCTTTGGCCAACAGAATATGAACTGATGTCATGTGTGCCACATCTGAGCAGAAGTTCTAAAAGCCACACATTTGCCACCATTGTTCTCTTTTCCCCTCTGCCTTGAGAATGGGAGGTCCCAGATGGAGAGTGCTTTTTCAGCCTGGATCCCAGAATGAATGGGCAGTGTCACCACCGAGCTGCAGCCGATATGCAAAGCTATAATAAACCACTGGATGTTGGGCCTGCTGACTAACACAGTATCACCTAGCAAAAGGTGACGAGACTGGTACTCAATAAATGTCCATTACATCCTATCATTAAAGATAAAGAGATGAGAGTCCAGACCCGGAGTGCTCAGCTGTGACTGGAGTGATGGTCATAAGAGTTCCCAGAAAAAGGAACATTTGTGTTAGACCTTGAAATCTGGTCAGTATTTAAAGAGTAGGCAAATGGGGAGGTGGTATGTTAATGTCCTAATCAAGACCATGCACCCTTGGGTTCGTTTTTGTTATAAATTCTGCATAAAAACTTTCTAGTTCCTATGTATACTTGTTTAATAGTATGCTTTGGTTCTCCTTTGAAATATGCTTCAAAAACCTGTAACAGTAAACAGGGGCTGCATATTAATGGTTTGGCCCAGTTCATGCATAGGAAGGAGGTCCAAATAAAATTGGAGTTTCAGAGCAGAGAAAATAAAGAGGGATTTGAAAAGAGGTCCAGATTCTTTCCTGGAAAAAAAAAAAAACCCTTCTTCTTTTAAAAGACAGACATCTGACACCAGAGGATACTCATCCATAGAAGTTGGGGCCCCTTTGGAATGTGGGCTATTAGGGCCTTGCGGGAATGGGGGGTTGCCTGACAGGGTTTGATCTGGCTCCGCTAAGGGCTTCCTTCTCCTTCCTCGGGGCTAGCTGGCTCATGCTGTAGACGGAGAAAGCAAGCTGCGGACAGTGGGGGACACAAATCCAGAGGCTGTACCAACCCCAAGCGTGTGTTCCAAGACCTTGGGTGAACAGATTTGGTGGGGGTGACTGAGTGTGTGTGTGCAGGCACACACACACATACACACACAAGCACATACGTTCAATTTAGCAGAGGAAGTCAAGGCAAATAGTTTAATCACAACCATCCCTCGGGGCAATTTGGAATAATTTTCTCATTAGAGAATATAACATGCAGCATGACTAATGTTCAATCAGACAGTAGCTTCCAGTGCCCTCGCCCACTGCCATTACACAGACCGGGCTCTGATTAATGGCGGAGGGGTGTCTGTCCATCCTCTTGGGGCCTGGAATAGTGGCTAGAGTCCAGTGACGGGAGGGGAGGAGGGAAGCTCTTTTTTCAAATATAAACATGAAAATAAAATAATGGGACCCCTCAGGGCTTGAAACAGACCTGATTAAAGCTGGAGGCAGCTTCACCCCTGGGGCCCAGGATGCTGGCAGGACTGCCTCTACAGTGTCTCCCCCGCATCCCCCCCCCCCACAGAGGCAGAGCTGCGGCCCTCCAATTCTCCCCCCCATTTCTCTCCCCTCTCCACCTGTGCATTCCCCAGCTTTCTTCCTCCTCTGTGTGTCTCCCCTCCTCTCTCTCAGCTCCCAAGTCTCTCCCTGGTCTTTCTCCTACTCACATCACGCCCCCACTGCGTCATCCCCCCACACAGCATCCACTGTTTTTTCTAGGCTTCCTGCTCTGTCTCTCCTGGTGTGCTGTGCGTGACACCTTTGGGCCCAGTGCTGTTTCCTTGAGGAAACCCAGAGATGTGAGCAACCAGCTCCTACTCTCCTGTTCAAAACCGAAGCCCACAATGATCAGTTGAAGGCTCTCTGGGATTTTCTAGAGCTCTGTTAACTCCAAGTGTGGTCCAGGAACCAGCAGCCTCCTTAGCAGTATCTCCCGAAGGTAAGAAACACAGCCTCTCTGGCCCCTCCTCAGATCTGCCAAATCAGAACCTGCCTTCTGTCAAGAGCTCCTCAGGGACGTGTGCACAGTTACCCTGAAAGTGTTGTCCTCACTGGCTCATTTCAGTGTCTGAGGCCTAGAGTGACAGAGTTCACCGAGTTATGTGGCCAGCCCAGACCTAGAACCCCTGACTCACTGATCCCCAAAGATAAGAGTCCCTTTTAATGCCAAGATGCCTCTCACTTAAGGTAGCAGTTTGTGAGTGTCACCTTCAAAAATCTGGAAAGAAGGTCTCCCCCCAATAAAGAAGGATTCTTCTCTTTGCAGGAATGCCCTTCTCCATCCCTTCTTCAAGTACGTTAAGTTATAGGCATCAGGAAATCTAATAATGCATGTTTTAGACACATGTAGGGGATATAGCAAAACGGACCCTGTAGGGTAAAGAAAATATCAGGCTTTTCTGCCCTTCCGCCATCGGGATAGATGATGGATCCTTGTCCTGAATGCATGCCTGATGGCGGGCACCTGGAATAGGGTTTGGGCATAGGTAGATGGGATTCAGCTGAGCTAAGACTGTACTTTTAAGGGCGGTGTCCCGGGGACGCCAGCAGCAGCAGCAGCACCAGCCAAGAAGCCGAAAGAGAAGCCGAGAAGCAGCAGAACGAACTCCAGAGAGCCCAGATAGAGTAAAGATTTGCTGGGGGCTGGGAGGCCTGCCAGCCTCCCAGCCCCCCAGCCAACACCCCTGCCTGCCATATGCCTGGTGAACCCCAATAAAAGACCTGCAAAAAACCACTGAGGACTCTGACTCCTTAACCCGGTCTGCATGGGATCAGAAAACCTGCACTGTGGTCCAGTTCTGCCTTTACAGACCCATTTTCAGGTCATGGTGAAGATCATAGAAAACTCAGAGCTTGGTTCTTGTTCCCAAGGAAGATTCATTCCCAAGGGCTCTGGTCAAATATACCTCAGATCATGAAGGAGGATTCCCTAGTTACTACACACACACGTGTGTTTGTTGTACCCATACACACACACACACACACACACACACACACACACACAGTGTTTAAATAAATCAAACAGTTGAGCCAGAAGGGGGTGACCAGGGCTGATACAGTTATCAGGCGAGGCTCTGCAGGTTTCTCTTAAAAGCTGCCCTATGACAAATCGCCAGCTTTTGGGGCCCAGTTTCCTCAGTGTAACAGCAACTGCACACGGGCCGCTGAGGGGAGTGACTCATGGTAGGGTTTTTCTCCCTCTCAGGAGTGTGAGGTT